TCCTTTGCAGTCGAGTAGGTAGGCGTCTTGCTATTACTTCTAGTATAAAACTCGAGTTGAGGTCACTCATGCAGTTCATCGAAATCAATGCATTCTTGTAAGTCAGCAAATTATCCAAAACTCAGTGAATGCCTGGGAGTCATCCTGTAATTTCTCTAAAATCATCGAAGGTCTTCCAAACCTTTGACGTAGTATGCTCATAGCCTCATCGTAGCCCTCTTTTGGCTTCATAAACTTACAGTACTGTATAGCTCTTGCAGCAATTTCAGTGCAACACCTCATCAAATACATTAACTTCATTTCATCATTTAATAGAAAACCACTTAACATGATTTCAAATTCCCTTACAAACTGTAAATAATCAACTGGGTTTACATCAAAACATCGTGGTTCAAATTTAGGGAGTTTGATGTTCCTATTATCCCTGAACGGCGAAACAATAACATCAACCATGTCATGCTTAACATCAGACACATCGTTACAAGTAACAGACAAGTCACAATGACTTACTTTCCTGTTTGCATCTAAGACGCTCTGTCCCTTCTTTGACCCAGGCGTTGTTGAACTTGACTCAATTCCAAAAAGTTCCAGATATTACTTGTTCAAAGAGGACTTGACCGGCACCAGGAAAGATGAACGGTGTCTATCCAAACTGTCACCAACTGTCTGAATCCGTCAGAAACTGTCAGCCACGTCTCGTAAACCGTTAATGCCCAGCTCTTGCCACGCTGCGACTCACGCCACTCCTTGAAGTTTCTCAGAAACGCTTAGTAATAACGGAAGCAAAAACCAAAACACCGATTGGCCACTCGAGAATTCTTTATTGAATTCTTTATTATTGGGATAGATTTAAGAGTACACTTGAGAGGGTTACCACCGATCTCATCCCCTGGAGGGTTCCTAAAAGTCCAACAAATCGGCCACCATGGATAAATAGACAAGCTATAACACTCCTGAGACGGAGAAAAAGGTTCTGTAATCTCTTTGTTTCTACTGGGCTACAGCAGTTCCGGCTGAAATAATGTGAAACCAGAAACCAGTGTAAAACTTTGATCCACCAGTCAAGGATAGCTTACGAAACCCAGTTAGTTAAAAGTTCACCAGGCTGCCCAAAAAGACTCTTCTCATATATCAAGAGAAGAACACGTAAGAGTGATGCTATACCACCTCTTATGATTGAAGTTGACCAGACAAACATGGCTGAGGATAACTTGACTAAGGCTGAGGCTTTGTCCAAGCACTTTAGTCAAGTATTCTCTGATAATATTGATGCCAGCTTTGTAAATTTTCCAGAAGGTAACTTGAAAATGGCACCCTAATACATTGGAAAGGATACTGTCCTAAAGTGGCTTCTAAGGCTCAATCCTGGTAAGTCCAATGGCCCTGATGAACTCCACCCACGCATATTAACAGCATTGGCTGAAAGCATAGCCGAGCCATTGTCGGTAATCTTCAATATGTCTATGGACCAGTCTAAATGTCCAAGAGACTGGAAAGATGCCATCATTAGTCCGGTCTTCCAATCCGGATCTAGAAACTTAGTTCAGAACTATCGTCCTGTTAGTTTGACCAGTATTGTTGTTAAACTACTAGAAAGAATAATTCGTGATGCTATCATTCAGTTCATTGAAGGGAACAAACTTTTCGCTGTGGAACAGCACGGTTTTAGAGCAGGTCATTCTTGCTTGACCAACCTTCTTTTGGCCAGAGAAAGTTGGGCAAGCTCAGCTGATGCTAATATACCGGTGGATGCCATATTCATAGACCTTAGCAAGGCGTTTGACAGGGTTTCTCATTCAGGTCTTCTAGTAAAGTTAGGTAGTCTGGGAATCAATAAAGTGGTTACCGACTGGATTCAAGACTTTCTAAAGGACAGAAGACAAAGAGTACGAGTTAACGGGGTTTTATCAACATGGGAATCGGTTAAGAGTGGCGTTCCTCAGGATACAATTCTAGGCCCACTTCTTTTCCTGATTTATGTTAATGAGATTCCATTGGTAGTTAAGTCATCCTGCTTACTGTTTGCTGATGACATCAAGATATGGAGGGCTTTGCACGATGACAGTGATCAACTTGCTTTGCAGGAAGATTTAAACTTGTTAAGTGATTGGTGTAAGCACTGGACCTTGGAGATTAACTTAAGCAAGAGTGTAGTTATGCATGTATCCCATAGTCACGTGCACAATTACTCAATGAATGGCATTACTCTCCCAGTGGTCACTGAGTACAAGGACTTGGGAGTGGTTGTGCAGCATGACTTGAAAACAGCAGCAAACTGTAGAACTGCAGCCACTAAGGGTTTTCGAATGTTACGGGCCATACGCAAGGCTTTTGCGAACTTTGACGCTGATATATTTCGTATATTATATCCGACTTATATCAGACCTCATTTGGAATATGGGATCCGGGCAGCGAGCCCGTGTTTCAAATACGAAATAGACTTATTAGAAAGGGTGCAAAGAGTAGGAACTAAGCTAATAAAGGGTTTCTCAACCCTGTCATATGAGGAGAGGTTAAGTCGACTGGGTTTATTTCCACTGTCATACAGACGACCTAATACTAGCATACCGTATTCTAAGAAATGATTTTGGAGCTAATTTATCTAAATTATTTCTTCCTTCTAGCACCAACCAATTGCGAGGACATCACCTCAAGGTCCAAAAACCACGGTCGAATCGTCTGCGTCTGGAGATCCGTTTTTCGCATCGAATTGTGAACCATTGGAACTCCCTACCGGAACACGTCGTATCAGCGCCATCCGTTGATTCATTCAAGGCGAGATTGGACCTCCTGTATGCAATAAATCGAAAGGATTAACACAGGCATATAGCCTACTATCCTAAGTAAATTGTAAGCTGTCAATATAGCCAACTTTAAAATTAAGCTTTAAACTAAGGTCTATGAACAAATATTACAATAATAAATCACAATATTACTTCTGACGGCTGTCTCCTGACTTCTTTCTGAACAGCGACCGATGAGACGATGACTGGCTGATTGACCCCTGCACGAAAATTGGGGAGGTTGGTTTTGAACAAACAACCGTGCATTGATCGTTCAATCTCCAACTACATTGACAGCTATCCTTTCTCTGATCTTCAAGGATTGGGATAGGTAAAATGCCACTTGTTATAGTCCAGCATCTCTACTCCCAGTGGTTTCAAAATGACTGGAAAGTATTATTGACGATCACATCAGGGAATACCTCTATAGTTGTGATGTAGTCCATGAAGCCCAACACGGTTTCATGAAATTCAGATCCTGTGTAAAAAACCTATTATCAGCTTGGGACGATTGGACAACATGCTAGGATGTGAATCTTCCAGTTCATGTGGTCTTCCTAGACTTTGAGAAGGCATTCGACACCGTTCACCATGACCTTTTCCTACACAAACAAGCTAGGCAGGTATAGGTAAGCCCTTTCTGTCATGGTTAAAGGACTACCTAGCTGAAAGGCAATTTCGCACTAAGGTTAGTCGAGTCCGATCATCTTGGCAGAGCTCGTCATCAAGAGTGTTGCAGGGTTCTATCCTAGGACCACTGATGTTTTTGATTATTGTTGATGATCTATCATGCCGTCTAAGCTGTCCGACTCTTCTATACGCTGACGACGTTAAGATATGGAGGGTGATAAAGTGCCCGGAGGACTCGGGCTGCAGGTAGATCTAATGCTTCTGAAAGACTGTGAGGTAGCCAGTGGCATGTCTTTCAACGTGAAAAAGTGCAAAGCAGTGAAGTTACGCACCTGTAGACTGCAAAATGCGAGTTAGGCCCTGGGCAATGAAAGCTTGTCCTGCACAACGTCGTAACGCGACTTAGGTCTAGTTTTAACGGAAATAATGGGTACGCGTAAATTACACGGAGGACGTAGCATGGGCATATGCCGTCATACACTTTACGCATAGACAGTTAGGTGCACTCACTCCTGAGCTCTTTCTAATGTTGTACAAAACATACTTCAGACCACACCTTGAGGTGCATAATGTTATTGCACCTCCAATGCTTAGAAGAGACGCCAACCTCTTGGAAAGGGTCCAACGACGGGCAACAAAAGGAGTGGTTGGTCTACGAAACAAACCATATCATGAAAGGCTGAAGAAATTAGGCCTATTCACACTTAGCTGCCATCGTCTTAGGGGGGATTTGATTTCCGCCTACAAAATAACAAATGACCAGAATCACCCAAACAAAGGTGTTCTGCCATTGAGTAGGTATAGGCTCCCTCGCGGAAATCCCAGAAATTTAGCTCCCCAGAGGGCAAGCACCAGGGTGCACTTCCACTTCCTTTTATGGCGGGTTTGCCGTCCCCGAAACACCTTACCGGCAAATGTGGCTATGGCACCGTCTGTGCCTTTAAGTGAAGGCTGGACAATCATGTAGCGACACAAGGACTGCGTCCAAATGGTCTATCCCCTTAAAATACCACACACTATTCAGTGGTAGACAACTAAGTTTGCCGTTTTACTTCTTTCCATTCTCCCATCTTACTCTCCTGACAACTTTAACTAAAGTTATCGTTATTATCAATATTACCGATATATATATATATATATATTATTCATATTATTCTTCAAATTTCATCAGCTGATTTTTGTTAAGTTTTCTTTACTTCTTTTTCTGTCTTTTAGTTTGAATAACTTCACTAGATATGTCTATCATTATTATTATCATCTCTTTTCTTTTGACAACGATACCGGAGGACTAAGTGGTGAAAGGATCGCCTCCATTCACCGTTGTAACAGACTCAACACACCTCATACTACAAACCACATATTATTAATCCCAGCATCAAAGCTACGACAGTCGAGTTGCGGGACAAGCTGTGCAGCAGTTTACCAAAGATCAGGAACTTTTACCTTATAATCAAGAGGCGAGCACAAAGAAATCAAATTGGTTTATGGTCGCCTGTAGAAACGATACTGGATATTGGAAATAAAGTAGATCTTGGACGTTATTAGTACCGATGTATTTTGTGGACATTTTCAAATTTAAAATGCAACAGAATAGTTCACTAATAATAAAACGTCGTTTTACACCAGCTATATCTTCCACAAACTAAACAGGAAAAGGAAATGACGAAAATTAAGAATGACCTTGAATGTTGTTTCAACTTGTCAATTTAGACATATACACACTCAGTGTAAAAATGAATCGTGTGAAAGAAATGTTTTGTAGCAAATGTCGCTACATAATTGCTATTATGGCGTTTTTAAACTGTATTCTTATTTACATGATGAGAGTTGACTTAAATGTCACAATTCTCGCTATGGTTAATGAAACAGTAGAGGAAAAGTCTAACATCCATAAAACGTTTTTCTGTGCAAACTCTACGGATGACGTTCCAACCAACCATAACAGAGTAAATGAGTGACTTCTATTGAATTATTTTGTTAAGATCAATGTTGGCGAACTTAACTGGGGAAGACTAACTCAAGGGATTGTACTGGGAGCCTTCTTCTGGGGTTATATTTTAACTCAAATTCCAGGTTAGATTCACTACTTTTACTGGTTATGTAATTATTATTGGGGATAAATCTATAAATTTTGGCGGAACATGGTCATGAAATGTAGGCACAAATTTGTGTTCAGTCGCAGGCTTGATTTCATTCGATATTCTGATTCAGATTTATTGGTTGAGGATAGAAGGTTTGGGACCTATTCTAATCATTTTTTTGTGAATTTCTGTGTTTTTTCAAACCCTTCTTGAATGGATCAATTGAAGTTCTCGTGGTCAGTTTCAGGAGTTTATGACTTGATGTGAGAACCAGTATACTACAGCAATATTATTTCTTCTTGGCTTTTGAACTCTCCTGGACGGAGTTTAACAATAGCGTCTCAGGAGTGAGAACTCTCCAGTGACCTTAAGATGCATGCTAGTCGTTGGTCGACGAAACTTTTCAATATCATAAGTAAAATATCAACTCTATTCACCGACTAAGATGCAAATTTCACCTAGATCACGTTTCTAAGTTCTGTTGGGACAACATGTTAATAGCTCGTTACACTTATGATTACCGTTAAGGTAGATATTGGTTTGGTATCAGGATTAGGATCGTAATTAGAATTACGGTTAAGTTTACGGTTAGGATAAGGGCTGTAGTTGGGGTTCCAATATCCAATATCCAATATCGTTTTTACGAGCTAGTATAAACCAATTTGATTTCTTTGTGCTCGCTTCTTGATTGTGAGGTATAGGTTCTTGATCTTCGGTAAACTTCTGCGTAGCTTGTCCCGCCACTCGACTGTCGTAGCTTTGGTTGACTCCAAAGGGAGTAGTGCTGGGATTAATTATATGTGGTTTGTAGTATGAGGTATGTTAAGACTGTTACTACTGTGATTGGAGTTGATCCTTTCGCCAGTTAGTCCTTCGGTATTGTCGACAAGAGAAAAGAGATAGTAATAATAATAATAGTAATAATAATAATAATAGATATAATTAGTGAAGCTATTCAGACTAAGAGACAGAAACGAAAATAGGAAACGTAACAACAGTCAGCTCATGAAGTTTGAAGAATAATATATATATCGGTAATAGTAATAATAATAATAATAATAATAGTAATTATAATATTAATAAGTTGTCAGGAGAGTAAGACGGGAGAGAATGTAAAGAAGTAAAATGACGAGTTTAATTATCTACCCTGATTGGTAAATGCGATTTTAAGGAGATAGGCCATTTGGATGCAGTCCTTGTATCGCTGCATGGTTGTCCAGCCTTCGCTTAAAGGCGTCCAAAGACGGTGCCATAGCTACATCTGCCGGTAAGGAATTCCAGGGACGACAAACCCGCAGTGAAAAGAAGTGGGAGCGCACCCGGGTCCTTGCCCTCTGGTGAGCTATCCTTCTGGGATTTCCACGTGGAAGCCTATACCTACTCAATGGCAGAACACCTTTGTTTGGGTGATTCTGGTCATTTGTTATTTTGTAGGCAGTAATCAAATCCCCCCTAAGCCGACGGTAACTAAGTGTGAACAGGCCTAATTTCTTCAGCCTTTCATCATATGGTTTGTTTCGGAGACCAACCACTCCTTTTGTTGCCCGTCGTTGGACTCTTTCCAAGAGGTTGGCATCTCTTCTCAGCATTGGGGGTGCAATAATATTATGCACCTCAAGGTGTGGCCTGACGTATGTTTTGTACAACATTAGAAAGAGCTCAGGAGTGAGTGCACCTAACTGTCTATGCGTAAAGTGTATGACCGCATATGCCCTCGCTACATCCCCTGTGTAATTTACGCTTGTGTCCATTTTTTCCGTTAGAACTAGACCTAAGTCGCGTTCCGACGTTGTGCAGGACAAGCTTTCATTGCACAGGGTGTAACTTGCATTCTGCAGTCTACAGGTGCGCAACTTCACTACTTTGCACTTTTTCAAGTTGAAAGTCATGCCACTGGCCACCGCCCAGTCTTCCAGAAGGTTTAGGTCTTCCTGTAGCCTATCTGAGTCCTCCGGACACTTTATCGCCCTCCATATTTTTACGTCGTCAGCGTACAGGAGAGTCGGGCAGCTCAGACGGCGTGGTAGATCATTGATGAAAATCAAAAACATCAGTGGTCCTAGGATAGAACCCTGCGACACTCCTGATGACGATCTGTGCCAAGATGATCGGACTCGGTTAACCTTAGTGCAAAATTGCCTGTCGGCTAGGTAGTCCTTCAACCATGACAGAAGTGGCTCACCTATGCCTGCCTGTCTTATTTTATGTAGGAGAAGGTCATGGTGAACAGTGTCAAATGCCTTCTCAAAGTCTAGGAAGACCACATGGACTGGTACGTTCAAGTCCCAGCATGATGTCCAGTCGTCCCAAGCTGACAGTAGGTTAGTGACGCAGGATCTGCCTTTTCTGAAACCATGTTGGGCTTCATGCAGTATATTAGTCCTATCGAAATATTCCCTGATGTGGTCGTCAATAATACTTTCCAGTACTTTTGATACCACTGGGAGTAGAGCTACTGGTCTATAGCTAGCAGCGTTTTGCCTGTCCCCACCCTTGAAGATTGGAGAAAGGATGGCTCTTTTCCACTCCCTTGGCAGGGTCCCCGAATCCATTGAGTGTTGGAACAAGTCGCACAGGGGTCTACAGAGAGCCTCGGCGCACTGTTTCAGAACAGATGGCCTGATGTCATCACAACCTGGGGACTTCCCAGGTATGAGTCGCTGTAGCTTCCTTAGTACTATTGCGGGGTTTATTTGGGGAGTAGTCGCTAGGTCTTCCTCCTCTGAAATAGTGGTGCCACCATTTTGGTCCGTAACTGTAATATCCACATTGCTGTTTAGCTGTTTAGCGAAGGCTGAACTGAATGTTTCAGCCATCTCCAGACTAGTGAGATATTGACCGTTTGGGCCTACTAAGGCGCATGCCCCTTGGTTTGTCGGTTTTCTTTCCGACATGAATCGGTACAAGTTTTTAGGGTTTGATAGGAGTTTTTTAGCAAGGTTAGCCTGGAATGACCTTCTGTCCCTCCTAACTCTTGCATTACACCGGTTCCTGAGTTCGAGGTATGCATCATGGTCGGTCTGACTCTTAGATACACGCCACGTAAACCAAGCCCTCCGCTTTGCTTGCAGAATACGTTGCGTGCCTCTCTTCAACCATGACGTCTTTCTCTTAGGCTGTGTTGTGACTAAAGGGACGGTATCCGAGATTGGGGTTAGTGTTAAGTTTAGGGTTAGGGTCAGGATTAAGGTTAGGGTTACGATTAGGGATAGATTTAGGGTTGATATCATTTATTCTGAATTGTTTTCTCATCCACATTCCCCTGTTAAGTAGGCGTCGATCCTCTTCCTGGAAACCATAATAATTCAACCGAGGGCTTTTAGAGGGAAGACTGCACAACAGAATAAGAGAGATGAACGGTTCACGAAAACAGCTCATCTTCAGTCAGCTCGGTGAATAGATGTAGAGAAACTAGTCTTACTTAGCAACTGATACTCCTCATTATTACTGGGACGTATTTTTAAGTCATGTTAGAGAACGATACACTGTTCAATGTGTTTTCATGCATTTTCTTGTAAATACACGTCATTTTTTGTACAAAAATTCCTCATTTTTATGATTGGCCGGCTGAAGGGCGCTCATGCGTTCGCATCCTTGAGAGGATGTTATTGTTGAACTTTGCCGTTTCCTGCTATGTCGTCTAAGGTTCTCCGACCTGGTTGGAAGGAAAAGAGGGAACATGTTAGGTCCATATTCATTATTTAAAATTTTAAACATTGCTACTAAATCCCCCCTCTGTCTATGGTATGATAAGAAGAAGAGATTTAAACTGTCTAGTCTTTACTCGTTTGATAGATTAGTCATTCCGAGGATCATATTTGTTGCCTTCCTTTGAACCTTACCTAGGATATGTCAGTCCCCTTTAAGAAAAGGCCTGGCGGCCTGGATGCAGTTTTCCAGTCTTGACCTCACCAGAGATGTATATAAGGAGGTGAAACAATCTCTGGTGATTCTTGTAAAGGCTCTGAGAATTGCTCATAAGGATCTGAAACTACATGCAGCCAACGCGCAGCATTGTGCTGTAGTCTTTAAATCGTGGCTAACTATGACACCTAAATCCAAATGAATCTGAACTGATGGCAGTGTTATTCCCTCTAGTTCGTAGGAGCTGATGCTTGCTTGTCCTATATGTATGGTAGCTAATTTCGCTACATTGATCAGGAACATCCGTTCTCCGGAGCACTGTGACAACTTGAGGTCTTTTTGCAACGTGAGCTTTTCACTGTCACCTTTAAGCTCTCTCCAGATTTTTAGAAGCACAGGGGAATCGGTGAGTGGAGATAACTCCTTGATATACAAAATAAATAGGAGAGGTCCAAGTACCGTTCCTTGTGGCACTTCTCTACGCACTGCTGTCCAGGAGGAGAGTTTTGAGCTGATCCTAGCCCTCTGCCTCCTATTTATGAGGAATCTCCTAATCCATTTTAGTTAGCTCCCTTTGATACCAAGACTTTCCAACTTCATGATTAGTCTTTTATGAAGAACTTTATCGAAGGCTTTGCTGACGCCTGTGAAGACGACGTCAACGGGTCGTCTGTTTTCCCTTGATTTAACCCAGGTTTCTTTTGCATGAGGGGTCTCCTCGGAAGCCATGCTGTGCTCTGGATAACAAATTGTCGTTTTGCAGATATACCATGATACTTTTCTCGAGGATTCTCACCAGTGTCTTGATTAAAGTGATGGAAGGTCTAACTGACCTTTAATTTGGAGGGATTTGTCTCGCTACTCCTTTTTAGGATGGAGGTTACTATGGCGTCTTTCCAGTCACAAGCTAACACTCCATCCAGGAGAGATACTGTAGTGTTTACTGAATCTTTCTTTCCTGTAATCCCGTTTCCAATCCATTCGATTGTGTCTAACTGGGGTTGGGAATTTCCTCGTAAAATTACTAAAGGTTTGTTGTTAACATGATTAGTGTGTCCGCACTTTTAGCAATTGTAGAAAGGTACTTTTTTCCGGTTACAGATAAATTGCTTATTAGCTTGAAGTTGAGAAGCTGTTTCAGTGACACTTTTTAAGTTCCTTGTTATACTGGGTTATTTGGACCTTAGAAATTGTATCTAAAATAGATGATAAGATCAAAATTATGAGAGAAATTCTTATCGTTCTCCTGAATGCTAAACTTTAACCCATGTATCGCTGCTATCACTTTTTCAAGTACTTAGGGAGAATAAATTCAGCTATAATGTTTCTCCATTTCCGAAAGGCTGCCGATATCAAAACGGATGTCTTTTTCTGTGTTATTCTTCAGCGATGTTCACTTCAAAGATTATTGACAACCCGAATGATGTCTTCCCAATTTCATTTTCCACAACAATCTAGTTGGTCGAATTGTTGTGCTCACAGCATTTCACAACCATTTCACTGTCGTTAACTGGAGTCAATAGAAATAACCCAGTGGGAGTAGTACCACTTAAGGTTACCCACACATTTTATTTCAACCACGTGACTGGTTACTAGAAAAGATTCCTTTGAAACATCATAAAGCATTTCATGACTTTCTTTTCCCTTGTGCTGAGTTTTGCCAGACCGGCATATCCTGACTAATACTTTTAATTATGTATATATTTCTTACTCGTAAAAAATGACCACCATTTGTCATTGTAGTCAATATACTGAAGTTAGATAGGAAATTTTGGCATACTGGTAAGCAACAACTGCCGTTTGACTACAAGCGCAATAACAATAACGAAGAGGAGTTGTTTTTACGTGAGAAGCCAATAGGTGCCGGACAAAAAGTAATGAAGTTATCCAGCCTTTACTTCCGACTGTGCAGTCCAATAAGCTCTCTCTAATAAGTATCATAGAGATTCCACTGGCAAGCACAGTGATTTAAACGTGTGCGTACAAGGGATAACTGTAAATGAGATAGAGGCCATTAATCAAGTAAAAATGCAAAACGGGAAGTTTGGTGAGTGTGAGACCAACAACTTTGGGTATCAAGCTTATTGCAAGAGGTTGAAGGGAATATAACAGGTGATGGATAGTTACAATATACATTTAATAGTGATTCTGATCGAAATTTGTATAAATAATGGGGTAGAATAGGTAATGAGGGAGATAATTACCTGTCCTGAACAAGTGAAATTCGTCTTCTTTTCCTGGGCTAAATGACGCCAGACAGTTTACGCTGTCCAAGAGAGTAATTTCTCTTCTCCAGATTTTGTTAAAATTGTAGTTTTAATTGAAAATGACATGGCATCTAATGAAATCATGGTCTTGTTGGATACGTTGACGTTTTTGATTTAATCGATAAAGTCGAATGAATCTCGAACTGTGTGGCAGGAAACTTGTCTACTGATTGGTTCCAGTAGGTCTGCTAACCACTGGGCTGTACAGTGATGAGGCGAATCGGTCATGTCGAGGATTTGTCGAAGGGGGTACTCTTCTTGTGTACTTTTGAGAGTCCGTAAAATCGTGGTGTATTTGAGACAGATGGTCTTAGGGATTCGAACGTTTTCTCGCTGATGAAAGATTCAGTCTTTAGCTTACGGAGGGTGTCCGTTAGCTTTTGTTCGGCCTGTTCAGTCATCTATTTCTTGTTGACCGGTTTTGTGAATTTTCATTCGCCGGATAGTATTTTTTCCTCAAGCTAGTGGCTTGAAGTTTCTGTAGCAGCGTTTATTTTACAGGATGGAGTTGCTAGCCAGCCTCGTGCCCAACCTTTCCTCTTTACTAGCATTATTTCTGGCTCGGCGAGGTAAAGGAGTGCGTTGGCGGCCGGAGATCGAACCACGAACCATGTGCACGGTCGGCGAGCGTCCTAACTGCTGTGCCACCGACGCACTAATAGTATAGTATAGTCAGCATTTTACTGATAAAGTCCTTGCGATTCATGATTACGATACCTCCGCCTTAACCAGGACGTAATATCATAATCGCTTCGTTTCTCATAAATTCTTTCAAGTCCTTATAATGCCTCTTCGTTAAAATGGACCTCCCGTTGGGCTTAGTATTGATAAACGTGTGACAGCAGTCGAAGACTGATGCTTTGAATTGTTGTAGGTTTTCATCTGATGTGGGTGTGAGATAGCAAGTTTGCTTTCTCAAATTTTCGAAATGAACCTGGCATTATAGTTTGTCAATACTTGGGGGGTTTACGCAGAATTTTGGACCTAGAGATAATGCCTCTAGTTGAATAGTAGACAGTATGATGTTTGAGCGATTGTATACGTACTACCGGAACCAGTTAAAAGACAAGTTTCCTTCCACACAGTTCGAGATCTTTTCGACTTTTTCGACTCAATCGAAAACATCAACGTATCCAACAAGACCATGATTTCATTAGATGTTACATCATTATTCACAAACGTCCTACTGACTGAAACAATATTCTCGGTATACCCGCTGAACGTCTTGAGGAACTCCTACTGAGTTTTACCTTGAATGTTCAATTCTCTTTTAATTAAAAAATGTTTTATTTGCGTATAAACCGATTAAAATAAATTTTTATTTCAGGTGGAATATTAGCCTTCAGATTTGGTCCTAAATGGGTGGTGTTTGTCAGTCTTGCTGGATGTGGAATCATTGAATTCTGTATACCGCCTGCAGCACGTAGCCATGTTGAAATTTTAATCTTTTTACGTATAGCAGAAGGTCTTTTTCAGGTAATACTTCTTTATTTTATTATTATTAAATTAATGTAATTAAATGTAATAACACTCAACCTGGTTACGAAGCACTACTGTTTGACATCATTAGGCTCAGACTACTAATGCCAACCAAAAAGTAGTATAGACCTTCACTTTGTTCTGCTTACTTTATTAGTCACCATTTATGACACTGAGGAGTTCATTGAAAACGAGGGAGTACTGGACAGCTGTTTCATCCTAGTTTGAGAACCATCGTCAGTACGCATCCACACTGAGGAGTTTGAACCCAGGACCTTCCGGTTACAAGTCAAGCTCATATGTCATTCAGCCACTGGGATCCGATTTAGTGGCTCATGAATTGTAACTTCTACGATATCACCTTGCAAATGGAAGGTCCTGGGTTCGAACCCCTCAGTGTGGGTGCGTACTTCAGATGATTCCCAACAAGCTAGGATGAAACAGCTGTCCAGTACTCCCTACGGCTGCTTTTCAATCGTTCTCTAACTGATATCAATTAGTGATCAAGTGCTAAATAAAACAAAACTTATCCTTACGAACAAACTATAGAAAAATGAAGAGGTCTTTTATTTTGACCTAATTACTTCTGAATTCAGGAGGTAACTATGATGATTTCCCAACTTAAAATGTCTAATCTGGAAGGTGTTTAGATCGATTCTGTGTATATCTAGCTTGCCGAAGTAGCTAACCAAAATTCGAGCACTTCAAACTGGTTAGATTCTCTGAGTGACATTGCGCACCAGGCCATCAGTACAGTAGTAGTAGCGCTCGAGTGGGAAACAGCGAATTGGGTATTCTAGAGTGATGTCAAGGAGATCTTGTCAAGTGGAAATGTAAGCACATGAGCAATTAAGGAGGCGACTAAAGAGGACTACAGAGAATGGGGATTTGCTCTTGAAGCCCTACGTTCTATTCAAAAACCGAAGGGAATAATAATGTCCTTTGAGTTGGGTCCTAACTGGCTTAGCCTCTAGACAAGCAAACTGACCATTCCTTATAAAGTTATATTTGTAAAATCTCAGCGAAATTGAAATGATTAATTCCAACGTTTCTTGTGTTCGGCAATCTGGTCCGAACTTCTTCAGGGAGATTAATCGAAATTAACATAACAATGAAGAAGTTCGGACCAGATTGCCGAACACAAGAAACGTTGGAATTAATCATTTCAATTTCGCTGAGATTTTACAAATATAACTTTATTATAAATGTCTACTTCTCACTAAGCGCTCAATTATTTTGCAACTATCCGGTCAAATCTTGATCACAGTTCGTATGAATGACCATTCCTTGTTTATACCGCTCTGATCTGCCTATTTAAAACAGCTACTTGACGTGATTGGTTGCTGACTACGTACATCAGTCAGTAGTACATACTATCAAAGAAATGGATAGCGTTTTCTTAATTCTTTAATTTCTTTATATCCTTCTTTATTTCTACTCTAACCACTGTCAAGGATTTGTAATTTTGTACCATTCAGTGTCAGTTGGTTTCTTCAGCCAACTTCTTCATCTGTCTTCTTGTTTATGGTGAAAACTATGTGAAAATATCTGACATGAACAATCCTTGTCTGTTTATCGAATAGATCACTTAAAAAAGTGAGGCTTCGATGATATTAGATAGTTGGAGGCAATCGGAAGGAAGCCTTTCCTAGACATTGGTTTCGCGCTAGCTGGCACTCACTAGTCAGTAAGGCGTATCTACAACCTCGAAGGAACTCATGTCTCTTCTGAGATTCACACCCACGGCGTCAGCCAGTGAGTCCTGCAGTCAGAGACGTTACCAGTGAGCTAGTCGGGTTGGCTGAACTGTAGTGGATATTTCGACTGGACACTAGTAACTAGTGTGATGTATCTAGTCCCTTCTTTGGTGCAGACTGAATTCTGTCAGTCAGCTTTGCAATGTGGCCACCATTCTAGGTAGCTGGCCATCACAGTGCACATTGATTTAATGACATTAAATGGTTGCAGGCAATCAGCAGGAAGCCCGTAATGACTGTCTTTGGTTTTGTGCTAGTTGGCACTCGTCAGCACCGTGATGGCGAGCTACCTAGAATGGTAACCACAATGCAAACCTGACGACTGATAGAATTCAGTCTGCTCCAAACACCAAGGGCTAAACACATCACACTAGCAACTAGCGTCCAACCAAAGTGAGGCTTTGTTTGAAAGGCTTTGTCCGGCTCTTAACACGACTAAAGGATTAACATTCTTTGCTGAAGGCTCTTAAACTAGAAGTGTCTGTTGTCACTATTTCTTTTTAGGGATCTTTATCGGTTACTCCAAACGCCATTTTGCAGCCACAGACTTGATAATCTGACATTTAAAAAATTTGTCAAAATGGATATTAAAGAATATTAATATTATTACTGCATTGTGTACTACTCATGAACAGATACAAGTACTATATGAAATATTATATTCGGTAAAAGAGATGATGATTTATAATGCAAATAGAAAGGCCACTACTGAGGAGACATAAAAACAAGAGATGACAATTCGGGAAGAATCTAATGAGTGCCAGACAGTGACCGACGAAATATGCCTGAGCACAGAATTGATGATATTATTTGCAAGTAGGGAAACGGATTGATTTTATTGTTTTAAATTTGGATCGGATCAATATCCTAGACAGCAGTAAAATTTTCAGAAGTCAGACATGATGAATAACCTTGACAGAATCGGTCTGACTAACCGCCTTATTCATGAATAGGCATAATCTTGTTGTTTTTGATGTGGTTGTGTTCTCTGAGCTGGATGGTTGATTTGCGAAGCTTTCATCACTCTACTAGGTGACATATTCAGCGCATACTTCAATACTTCAACGGCCAAATATATGAACAAGTTAAAGGAACAACCATGGGATCGCCAATATCAGGTTTGATTGCAGAAGCAGTGATGTAAAGACTCGAAAACATAATTCTACCAAAGATCAAACCCAAGATTTGGATACGCTACGTAGACGACACATTTGTAATAATAAAAATAAACGAATTAGATAAAACTCACAACTTAATAAACGTCTTCAACGACATCAAATTCACAAGAGAAGAGGACGTCTTAGTCAGGCGAACAACCGCAGAGGAATTAGAAACAAGTTTGAAGAAAACCAACTCACACAGACCAAATCCTGAACTACAACAGCAACAATCTGATAACACACGAAAGAACTGCGTATAAATAGTATTCAAGAGGGCCAGGACTCATTGCAGCACTCCTACCTTAAGGAAAACTGGAGAAAAATATCTCATGGACGTCTTCCAAAAGAATGGATATCCACGGAATTTCATCAAAAGACATACACACCCAAGACAACCTATTAAACCAAAAGCCCCCAAGGAAAGCACAAAGAAAATCACCTTACCCTATATAAAGGATGTCTCAGAAACCACTACAAGACTCTTCAAACCTTTAGGAATTGACGTCGTACACAATCCAACAAAATTACTTCACTCAGCCAGCTCTGTGTCAACCAAAAGACAGACTCAACAGCGAAAGAAGATAAAACCAACATCATCTACAAAATAAATTGTAACAACTGCGAAAAACACTACATTGGTCAAAGTGGACGTCCCCTTCGTCTTCGTATCCAAGAACATAAGCTAGCTGTCAAAAGACATGATATCCACTCCCTCACTCATATCGCCTCACTGCATACTGACAACCACGGAAATCATTTCGGCTGGAACAACGTTCAAGTATTAGACAGAGGATACACCCAAGAATGCCAGAGAATTTTTAGAAGCTTGGCATCCAAATGAGTCATCAGTCAATAGACACATCGAGACAGACAAAATTTATCAACCGATAAGAAAGAAACTTCACACACAAACGGTCAAAGTTCAAGTCAAAGAAACAATCAGTTCTAATACAAGTAACCTAGAAGGTATGAAAACACACAAAAACAACCAATCACGTCCAAAGTCACCCACCAGGAGAGATGATTAATAAACTCGTGGAGAAATCTAAAAGCTCACTTCAAATTGAAGTATGCGATGAAGATGTCACCCATTAGGGTGATGAAAGCTTCGCAAATCAACCGTCCAGCTCAGAGAACACAACCACATCAAAATCATCCACCTGAGCTACAAATCTTCTGTATCGTATCTATAATCTTGTTGATTCTATAAGGGGTAATGGTTTGCATGCACTGCCTTCAAGCACCGATAGTGGTGTTCCATACAAAAGTAAAAGGGTGAATGCAAACGTTTGTCACTTACGACCAGACTGGTGGACATACAGGTCTTAATAGGGGATCTGGAAAAGTGATCTAGATAGTATGCTTGAAATAACATTAGCTTGGCAGTGTAGATTGCCAATGAATGTAGTGATTGATTATTGAAGGTGAAATGAAGATGCGGATTGGAGTAGGACTTTTGTAATCATGTTGCAGTTAATCAATTATGATTAATCATCATTTACCACATCCAGACTCATATAAATTTATCTAGTTTATGGTAAGCAGTCGATCACGAATATCTATTCTGTTTAGATACCATACTGTTAAAGAATGTTACTGGGGTAGGAAACTGAATAAAGGTCATGCTATGATTTAAACACGTGTATTTCTAAGCTTTTATCATCAGATGGACATATGGTATACCCTAAAACCTCATGATGACTAATCACTTTCATGTTAGACTTATAGCTAGGTCAACTAATCATTTAGGATCATTTAAATAAGACCACGTATCAATACATGATCTGTGATGATTGTAGTGAAAGGTTGATCAAGTAATCACATGGGTCTCAACGTTGAATTCTCCAAAGTTTCTGGGCTAGTAATCTAAAGAACCGGGTGTCTATATCATCCTAGATAAAATGTTTATATATGTGTGTAAAACGTGGGCACTGTGGTAGTTAGTTAAAAACGTTCACCCTCCCCCCCACCTCAAAAGTATGGTGGATATATATAGATGACACATTCACTTACATATAGATTTTTCAAACACATTAACTCAAAGGTGGAGGCAATTCCACTCATTTATGAATTGGAAAGT